ACAACAACAACAACAACAACAACAACAACAACAACAACAACAACAACAACAACAACAACAACAACAACAACAACAACAACAACAACAACAACAACGACACCAGCAGTTGTGATGGTAGTCCGTCGTCGCGGTGGCGGTCTAGCGGGGGCACGGGTCACACGAGCGGCGCGGATGCTGATCTCGAGCGGGGCCCCTCTGGCGCTGCTGCTGCTGCTGACAAACCGCCGGGCGGACCAGAGTCGGGTGTTGGTGCTCTCGAGGGCGGGGAGGCCATCGTCGGGGCGGCCATCGTCGGGGCGGCGCCCGATGACGCTGGAGACGAGGGCCTCGAGCAGGATCGCATCCTTTCCGAGATTGAAGAAGGGATACTCGATGTCTTTTCCGACGAGTACTGTAACAGGCATCTCCTCTACGGCGTGCTCGAGCTCATCCTTGTTCGGCTGATGCCTGAGTTGGCGGATAAGGGGGTGGCGGATTTGTTGGATGAGAGGTTGAGTTTATGAGATGACGACTACGACGGTTCTTCTCCTTTTCTTGTTCTTGCATTATTCCATCGGCAGCAAGCGAAATCGTCTTAGGTCGTGGACAGCCTTTCATCTCTCTTAACCTTAATATAGAGTAATAGTAGCGAGTAGTTGCATGTGGGGATAGCTACAAGTTTGTCGTGGACCCCTGGCCGAACCACGTAATACATCTGATAGATGATACAGAGAACACATGTCATCGCGGTTCAACTTGAATTCAGATGAGCAGACGGACTGATCTATTATTGTTACTGCTAGGAAAAGGGAAAAGAGCAAAGAGTAAAAAGGGTGGGCAAGATCCCCAAGAGTCTGTCCTCAAGACAAGGGAGGAGACCGCACCAGCCTGCTTCTCTCCCCTCGTTCACATTTGACCCTCCGAGAAGAGACTGAGAGACTGAAGAGACCCATGTTGCCCTTGAGTGTCCGTCTTGGAGAAAAGACGCCCGACCCATCCTGTCCCGATAGTCTGCATGTGCGTAGCATGCGCCCCCCAGTACCATCTTCAGGGAATAAGCCCTGTAACCAAGTCTCTCTCTCCTGTTCAACACCCGTTTTTGCTTTACCCCGGTCCTCAACCCAAGCCAGAGAAATAAAATAAAATAAAATAAGAAGATATGAACTGTTGATGGTGCAATATGTGAATATAGATAGCGTGAGGTGTATGAACTCGCGCCCAACATATACAGGCGTCTCCGGTAGATAGGGAGAAGACAGCGGGAAAACGAAAGTAAACGGATGCACAAAGTGCAAACTGTCGAGTTACAAAAAGGAAATAAAATCGGGGGAAATTGAAAATATGAAAATTCTCCTTGCAAGGAGACAAAGGTAGCTGCAGGTTCGCGTGAGCGGTGCAAGTCTTCTGCGGTAGAAGCTATAGAGAGAGATCAATGATGTCAAAGAAATGTCGGTCTGAAAGGGGTATCGATGAGAAGAAGCGAGGGATTCGAGAGGTGAATATGCGGAAGCGTCGGGGGTATATATCTGTCCAGTGGAAGTTTGATCATGGACCAGCTGCGTATGTGATATCAGGGGGGTTTCCCCCCTTTTCAGTCTCCTTTTTTTTGTCTTTCTCTTCCTCTTTGGAAGTAAGCCGTTCGTCGTGAGACGCCGTGGATCGTATAAGGTGTAAAGTTGAGGCCAAGAATATGTGCGAGAGTCGCTCCTCGTATGGGGATTGGTCGGCAGTGATGTTGAGAAACAATACCCATCCGTCGAAGGACGCAGGACGCAGCGGCTGGGCACTGCGTCTCGATATCCTCTCCCAGGGGTGCTTCACCATCTCCCCATACTCCATCCCCCTTTCCCACCGTGAAAAAGGAAACGCGAAATCCAACGCTTGGCAAGCACACACAACACACAACAAGCTTGTTACTTCGCCCGTCTATGTTGCCCGGTCCATATCCCGTATCCCAGTCCCCGGAAGAGGAACCACAGCCAGCGCCGTTGGCACCATAAGGGCACCCATAATCCATGAAACGAAGAGCAGAAAGGGGGGCAAAATAAAAATAAAAAAAAGGGACGAAAGAAAGCAACATGAACTCAAGGAGAGAAAAGAAAGAAAAGACGGCGAGAGAGGTAAAATTAGGGGAGCCCCTTGGCAGCTCATTCCACCATGGCAGCCCCGACTTTCAACGACCCCGACATCGCAGGAGGCGGCGGCCCCATCTCCGCATCCCCTTCCGGAATCCGCATCAGTCCCCCGATAGAAGAGAGGCCGGAGGTCTTGGACACCTGAAGCTGGAGCTGATGGAGCCGGAGTTTCTCCGTCAACCGCAGCACGGCCGTGTAGTCGCTGTGGTCCACGAAGCCAGTCGACGCCGCATTCTGGATGAAGCTGAGCAGCGTGTCGGCCGCTCGGCGGGCGTCTTCCTGCGAGGGGGACGACGGGGACGATACGACGGGGGTGGACGAGAGGCCGCTGGTGGCGGTCGCTCGTCCGTTGCTGCCGCCGCTGCCGCTGCCGCTGCCGCTGTTGTGGTTGTTGTTGTGGTTGTTGTGGTTGTTGTGGTTGTTGTGGTTGTTGTTGTTGTCCATGGCGAACGGGTTCGCGTTCAGCTCGTGACCGGGGGATTCGAGGGCCGATGACGGAGCCGTGGCTGACGATGCCGCCGTTTGGAATCTCGGGGTGGTGGGGTCGCCGCCTGCTGCCGTGGCGGTGGTAGAGCTGGGTGGGTGGTTCACGAATTCGAGGTCCAGCGTCGGGAACGTCTGGCTTCTCGGCCGCTGGAAGCTCGAACCGGAGACGAGGCCGCCGTCCTGCATGTCGCGCACCTGGTCGTGGGGGAGGAAACCGCCGACGTTCGGATCAGGGGAGAAGCCGAACGGCCCCGTGGGGCTCAAGGGGGCGGCGGCCGGCCCTGCACCGAAAGAGGACGGCCCCGCGTCGGTCGGCTGCTGCTGCTGCTGCTGCTGTTTCTGCTGTGGGTTGTTGAGCGACGTGACGAAACCGAGGCTGGGGCTCGCGTCCTCGTCGCTCCGATCGGCGGACAAGGGCGACAACTGGCCGGTCGGCGACGTGGTCGAGATGATGCTGTTGTGGCCCAGGGAGGGCGAGGAGGTCGACAAATTAGCGGCATGGTGATGGTCGGGAATATTCGTCTCCGAGGCTCTCCGAAGCAGACGCCGCACGCCGATGCCGTTCTTCTGCTTGAACTTCTCGAGCCAGGTGCCGTTCTGCAGGGCCCGGATGTGGCTGTCGGCGTCGCCGCCCACGTTGGCGACAAAGTGGCGGGCCTGTTGGAGAATCTCCTCGTCCGACACATCCGACCCGTGGCGGACTTGCCGCCTGGCCCAGCTCGACATGGCCTTGTCGATGTCCGGGATCTTGCTCTTGGTGCGCTTGATGGGCGACTGACTCCTGTCTTCCGGGTAGAGATATTTCTCCTTGTTTCGCAAGACTTTGGACACGGTGCTAAATTTTCGGGGGGGCAAAGGACCAGTGCGATTTGATGGTTAGACCTGCTGGCCCCTGGGGCGGAACAAAGGAACAAAGGAAGAAAGAAGGAAGGAAAGAAAGAAAGAAAGAAAGAAAGAAAGAAAGAAAAGAGCGGTGAAAAACTTGGGTCGGAGAGGATGTTTTGTTCTTGGTTCAGGGACCTACCTCCTCTCGACGCCGAACATGGCGCCGATTTCGGTTTGCTTCATGTTGGGGTTCTCGAGATGATACTGGCACATCCTTCTCCTGTCGTCGTCGGTCAAGGTCTTGCGCGGCGTCGACTGGGACACGCCGGACGGCCGTGTCATCTTGGACGGGGTGGGCGCCGCTATCATGGAGGGCATGCTTAAGGGGGGCGCCGAATGCGAGTGCGCCGCGAGGGCCGAGTAGCTGTTCGGGTTGGTGAGCATGCTCGGCCACGCCGGCTGCTGGGACGGTATGGTGAGCATCGACAGGTGTGCGTGAGGTTGACGTTGGTGATGGGGTTGCATCGATTGCAAGGGCAACGGCGGCGGCGGCATCCTGGGCATGGAATCGGACGAGAAGCCTTGATGTGAGCTATGGGGGGCATAGCTGAAGCTGCCATAGTCTGACATGGTGTTTTGGCTATATGGACTCATGTCGGCCCAGGGTTCATTGTTATGAGGTGTGCTGTGATGATGAGAGTGCTGCTGCTGCTGCTGCTGCTGCTGCTGCTGCTGCTGTTGTTGTTGTTCTTGTTGTTGTTGTTGCTGTTGTTGTTGCTGCTGTTGTTGCTGCTGCTGCTGTTCTTGTTGCTGTTGCTGCTGGGGCTGGGGCTGATGATGGCTGTTGAATGCGTGGTCCGGGGAGAGGTGACTCTCCTCGTCAACCTCAGAAAGCAGGATGGATGGGTTCATGTCTTGTATCTTTCCCTTGAGACTATCAGGGGACAATGGGATAAGGATGGCCAGGGACGACTCCGGGCGCCAGACGACGGCAGCATGCGTGCGACCCTGGAAGGTTGGGTCGGTAGAGGCAGAGGTAGCGGCAGAGGTTGCGATAGAGGTAGTGTCGGGTATCGCGGCGCCGGATGCGAGAGCCTGGTAGACAGCCACTCGATGGACGTGTGGGGGATGCCTGTTCCCCGGTAGACACTAGGTCGGTCTGGCTTCATGAATGGAAGACATGCAGGAGGAAAGAGGTTGGCCAAGTGGTTGTGGGGTTGCGTCGTGCAAGCAGTTTGCGTCCTGAGTACGGATAGACGTACGTTGTAGGCAAAAGGTTCAAGTTGGAAACCCGAGCGAGGTCCGCGGACGCAGATCCGATGCAGGTGTGCCGGAGGTGCAGCAAGCAATGGGGATTGGGGGTGAAGGGGGAGGGGGAAGAGGAGGGGGGCGCCAAGATGATGTGATGGACACTGCTTCCCCTGAAGAGAAGGAGTGAGAAGGCGTAAGTTGGTCGTTTCTCTCTGTGAAGCCCCGGCCGTGTATTCTTCCCTGGCCTAGGTCGGATGTCGTTATAGTTGTGGCTGGCTGTAGGCCGGCCCGTCTTGCGCGGTTTGACTATCTTCTCCAACTCGACCCTCGAAGCGGTTGCGATCCCGTGGGCGCAAAGCAAGTGCCTGCCGATAGACAAAGAACTCGAAGGCCACCAGGCGGGTGGAGCGAGTTGACCGGAGAGACGCACGAGAAGCGCTGGCTAACAAAAGCAAACAAGATCCGTTGCACGGACGCAAAAGCCGGTAAGTCGTGGGAATATGTAGTCGAGTAACGAGTTGTTGGAGACATTTGGTGAAGGTAAAGGGACTGACACAAAGAACATGAAGACAGACAGCTCGGCAGAGAGACCGAATACCGACAGAACTGACAGACAGATCGATGCAGTAACAAAAGCAATGGGCTAGGCCATACACTAATATGTAATAACGTCCATACTCCTTGACCTTACGTAGGTATGTATGTATGTATTATACCATACCCCGAGCCGGCCGGTGTCTAGTGGAGGTTTCCGTCGACAATACCGGCAAGGATAGTTCGGACGAGCGAGGGACGAGGACGAGAAAAGGGGGGTGTAATATCTCGCCGACGCATGGTGAGCACTGACAGAGAGGTCTCGGGGGGTAGGGGTAAAAGCCAAGGGGTGGGGGGAAGACGGACTGGGGATGGGGGAGGGCAGGGATTAAGGTGGGTTAAGGGGGGTTAAGGGGGGTGTGGATGATGGGCCCGTGGGCAGGATTAGGATTGGATCTATCCGAATGAAGCATGAAGAGACGGAGAAGGAGAAGGAGGGGAATGCCCGTGCCCGTTTAACTCTTGGATGTCTGATGGTAATGCTACCCGCAACAGGGGCCCCCTGAACAGTTGATCTCTTCTCTGTTCTCTCTCTGTGTCAACTTGTCAAGATAGGAAAAATAGCAAGACAAGACAGCGGGATAATGATGTGGTAATCTACTCAATACGTTGTGGGTAGCGAGAGACATTTGTTTCGGGTATGATACGATAATACGTAGGGGGGGAGGGGAGGTGGCGTGGGATATGCTCTCAGCCTCTCTCAGGATGGTCGTTGAAGAATTGCTGACATGAGAGACACATCGAGATGGCTCTAGGGGTCGAACAGAAGATAATTCCGAGGGCAGGGTAAAAGTGTACATGTATGAACCAGAGAAGAAGGCCGTGGGGCAACCCGTCGAGTCGGCGTGTCGGGCAATAGGAGGTTGAACCGGCCAAATGAGTGTCTTATCCGGTCCTTTCTGATGATGATTGATGCTCGCTGAAGAAGATGGGCCGCCCCGAAGCGCTGTCAATCGTGCGAGTCAAGGCTTGTAGTGTGTAATGAGGCATTTGGGCAGGCTTGTTGGTTAGTCTGTCATGGTCTTCTTGGCTGTCGTTTTTCGTCTCCTTTTTTCTTTCTTTTTCTCCCTTCTTATTCATCCCCTTTCTTCTTTTTCCTTCCCCTTGCCCTTTGTCTTCAACTGCTCAGTTGTCATCCGGCCTTCTCAGGGTGAGGGTAAAGACATCCATCGTCTTCATCAACTTGTCGTCCTTCTCTCAGTCGTCGCATCGACAACCGGCCCCTTCACCGCTCCCGCTTTCGCTTCCGCTTCCCCCGTCCGTCCTCCTCCTCTCCTCCATCTCCCCTTCTCTGAAGCGAAGCTAGGGTAACGGGCGGGCCCGGAAGGCGCCTATGTCTTAGCGGCTTTGCCCCCCCCCTTGCCTCACTGAACGCCATGCTTTCCGAGAGCCAATACTCGGTGATCATATGTAACTCGTGATCGTGATCATAGTCGTGATGGGATCTCGGAATTAGCCTGTCGCGTCTCCTTCTCTCACTTCTCCCCCGCCCTCCGTTCTTCCACTCAGCAAGGGACGTGTAATCATCTGCTAACGAGAAACAGGGGAAAGGCCCTGTCAGCGTCCAGTCCGCCGTCCCAGTGGACAGCCGGCAAGACGAGCTGGGATAACCCCGGCTCACACCGAGTACAACGTACAACGTACTTCACGACCAGGTGCAGGGGCGGTATTTTGAACCGCATCGTCGCCTCTCGTCGCTCCAGTCCTCTTCTCTCCCTCTTTGCGTTTCCCCACGTCTGAGATCCTGAGCTCAAGTCCTCTTTGCTTTTTCTTCATTTTTTTTTTTTTTTTTCCTCCGTCGAGGTCAAGGTTCTTTCTGCCCCTCACCTGCAGTGGTCAAGCCTTGACCATGACAGACGGGAAAATGTCAGCCATCTCGCACGCGCCGTTGACATCCCCCCCTGGTAGTCTTTCCTTCGAGCGCCACCCCCACCAGTGACCGGTATCCGCCGTTCCGCCCTCAACCGACAAATAACGCGCGGAAGAACGGTGTAACCTGGGATTTCCCATCCTCAGCTCGCTCTGACCTCAATGACAGCCTCGAGTCAAAGAGTGTCGTCGCACCGTCACGTCCTCGTCGAGGAATCCGTACATGTACTCATCTATCCAACTTGCGCCACCTCGGATGACTCGGATCTGACTTTGCCAAGCTGATAACACAACGTACACGTACACGGTACCGTCCCCAAACATATGGTAAATGTACCTACCGTACGGTTGTAATATGGTCATATGGTCCGTCCTGCGGGAGCTAATGGGACGGGCCTTTTCTCTTCCTTGAGCACGATGCGAGATGCGATGATGCGATGATCTACCAGGTCAGGCATCCCCGTTGCCAAACCAAATCCTTGGACCTCGTCGCCCTGGATTGGCTTTTGCAATGTGCGATGGAAGTACGTATTATTAGTGGCCCAGTTCGGCAGCCCCTTCCTGTCGCCTGTGCTCCGTCGCTCCGCTGCTCCGTCTACTCGTGGAGGACCGTGGAGTCGTACACTACCCGTACGAATTCGCATCGCATTCGTTCCCCCCCTTCTCCGCCGGAAGAGGATTCGGCGACCGCCATCCGTACGGGAAATGTGGAGGAGGGGGCCAGAAGCGGAAGGACCGCGTCTTGTCCAACAGCATAGCATGTCTCGGACTCGAGCTGAACAGGAAATGGAACATACAACGCACCGTACACCATTGGTCATAATTGCCTGGCCACAGCGAATTCCGTCGAGTCTTGCCATTGGCCTGCATACGTTCAGCGAGAGGCCATCCCGGATTCCAGTTGGTCAGTTCAAGTTCCATTATCACCGGCTGAACGGGATGCGGACTTGTGAGGGGAGAATATGGCCGACAATGATGACGACCCTGTCAGATCGGGCACCTTCTTTCTACCTATCCGTACGTTAGTAGATGCCCCCCAGGTCCCTCGCCTTCTCACAATATGATTGTCATGTGAGACATTTTGGCTGGGCGTTGGCGCTAGAGACGACTCTGTACTCCGTACGTGAAGAGTGCGTAACGTTGTACCGTAGATTATAATGCCTATTCAGAATTAATCATGATTAGTGCAGTCGGCTTGCATGAGAGCCACGAGGGCGTCAGGGGCCCGAAAAGCGGCCGGCCAGAGTTTCCAACCGACCGTGTAGAATGATTCCATGACAGATCCGGTCGTAAGGCTAGCCGTCTCTCGTCTCTCGTCTCTCGTCCATTGTGCAGAATAGCAGAACCGGACATCGTCAAAGCTCACTCCAGCACCACCCTCTCCCCACAGCAGGCCAATGCCCATGTTATGCTTATGCTGCAAGCAACCCCCCCCCTAACCATCTTGTGATCAACACCACACGTACCTGTGAGAACACATGCTGTACGTGTAGAACTCGAGAAATCGAATCAATGTGCACAATCGCGCCGCGGCCCGCCCTCTTTGCGCCCAAAGAACCCGGGACATCCTCAATGTATGAAGCAACGACCAGGCCAGCCAGGGAGCTCGAGCACCACTGCAGCAGTCATAGGCCACCCGTGGGACGTCCGTGCCCTTGCGCTCGTCCTTTTCCCAATGCGGTCTTTTCCCCTCAACACCATGCCTGTCTGGGGGACAGACGAGGATCGAAAGGCTTGCAGCAGTGACGGGCCCAGGGAGCGAACCGTGGGTTGGCGAAAACTGGACCGGCAAGTGGATACGCAAAATTAGGACTGGACTGCGGAAACAGGGGGCGGGCGGGCGGTATGGGTGTGCGAGCGCCGAGGACGAGTACGAGGGGGGGGACCGCTCCCAATGTCTAAGAAACCTGCATCCTTGCTCCCGACAGCTAGGACGGACAGGTACGGTGGGAACACAAAGTAAAAGAAGGGCAACCCGCGACGATCGTTGGAGCTTCTCAATGACATCAAGTTGGTATGTTTGCCGCGTATGGCGTAATGATGAGCGGCCTTCGTCCGAGTCAGATGCGGTGAAGATGCACGCCAAATGCGGCTTTCTTCTCCTTCGTACAGTACGTGTACGAGTGGAAAGAAAGCAAGGCCACGAAGATGACAGAAAAAGATAGGAGGCCCACTCCTGCTGGTTGACTGACTAACTGACAGCCACCCACTCCCCTCTGGCACCCTGGCACGGGCCTCGGCGGCAAAAGGAGGCTTCTGAAAGGTCAGTTTGAGAGACCGGGGGGGGGGCGGGGCTCTGTGGGTAGGATTCGCCCTGCAGCAACTACTGGCCAGGAATTTTTCCTCCAGGAGAGCAATTCAGCACGAGCATAGTGACCGGCAGAATTCGATTCGCAGGGCCAACAACACCAGGTCAAAGTCGACGAGGTCCCTTCGTAAGTCGGAAGCCGGGTCGATTCGATTCGAGTCGAGTCCACATGAGCTATTCGCACATATGCCGCCCAACACACTTGATGAAGCAAAGAGTGCGATGTGGGACCTGGTCAGCCACCAGAGAAATCCGTACATAACGCCTTGCCGTCGAGTCGATCGAGTCGATCGAGTTTGTTTTTGACCTCGTTGCAATTCGTTGAGAGAGAAAAAGAGAGGAAAAAAAAAAAAAAAAAAGGGAGACGGACAAAGGTCCAGGAAATGCTGCTTCCACTCCATGCACCCCTTTCCCCGTATGCGGCCGAGTCGTCGACCCTAACCCTGCGCTGGGGTTTGTACCAGCCTGCATGCATCGCATTCCCCACGCTTATCTCCCAGCCCATACGTGTGTTGGCCGCATAGTAAGCGACCGTCGGTTATGCAACCTCGCCGCCATTGTTGCGACATCAAGCCCTTCACCTGGGTACGCGGGTCCTTGTGACGTATTATTGAGATGTTTAATAAAAAGCCGTCTTCGTCTTGTCGTCGTCTTCTCACGAGCCCGCCACAGAAAAGTATCCTGCGACTTGACGAAAGACCGAGTAGGAGCCAGTGCCAGTGCCAGTGCCAGTGCCATGGTGTCGCGAGGCTGATTCGCGTCTATCTATTGTACGGTCCGAAGGGGGGTCGGAGAATGCTGCGAAAGAACACAGACCCAAGATAACATTTTGCTGATGTTTCTGCCTCATCGCTGTCTCCCTTCGCACTATCGGATGTCAACCGCCGGTACGACGTTCCTTGGCGCTGTTCAAGGTCAGCCGTGCTACCCCCCCGGACGAGAGTATTCAAAGGCGCCACACACGAGGCCCAGTGATTTTGCTTGCTCCAGCGGAGCACTAGGTACATCACCGTCCATCCATTCTACAACGTATGTCTACCGCCTTGGGGTGTTGATGGTCCCCGAGCCAGGCGCAATCATGGTCATCAAGTCGTGAATTCGCTTCGTCAGTTGACAAGGTACTATGTGTCGGGTTTGTTTCTTCTTCTTCTTTTCCAATCCTCTTCGTGTACCTTTTTTTTATCGCTTGACAATGGTTACTGTTCATACAGATGTGTCAGACAGTTTGTTTTGCTTGTCATAGTGTCGGTGGGTGGAGTGGGTAAGGGGCGGTAAGGGGGCAAGGGGGTAAGGGGGCAAGGGGCAAGGGGGCCAGCGGGACCACGAACCAATATCTTCATCGGCGAGCTCGTGAGACAGGCCAACTCGCTGCGGTTGGTGCTTGACAGACTTTCCGTAGACGATTGCGGTCTTGAAGTTATCAACGATGGTCCGATGGATGGCATTGCACTACGTATACGGGAGTATTGCGGTCAATTAGCCGGTCCGGAAAAGACGATAAGGGGATGTAAGGGGATGTAAGGGGATGGCGCCCAGGACCGTGCATGCGGTCTGGTGGACGGTGGCAATGACGGACGACTTACAAAGTCCTCGACAGTACATCGGTTAGAACGAAGGACGACCGGCTCGTTGTAATCTGGCAACTTTCCTTTTGGCTTTGTGTATACCCGAACTAGCCTGAGTTTGTCCCACCTGTGTGCGCAAGACGTGTTAATAGCCGTCGATCATCCCGGTGGTGGGCCTACCGTTAAGCAAATCACCGCCATGACAATCGTAACAAGAGACTTACATGGCTTCCAAAAGTTCGTCAATGTTCCATCCATGCTCGGAGCTGACCGGGACAGCGTTGGGGATCCGGTAGAGTAGGTCGAGCTCCTCAATACTGATCGCGTCGATCTTGTTCAGCACATAGATGACGGGGATGTAGCTGCGACTCCTTTCCTCGAGCACGTCGATGACGTCGTCGATGGTCGCATCGCAGCGAATGGCAATGTCCGCAGAGTTGATCCGGTATTCGTTCATGACCGCCTTGATCTCTTCGTGGGTGATGTTGGTCAGGGGCACGGTGCTGGTGATGTTCAACCCGCCCTTGTCCTTCTTCTTGAACGTGATGTTAGGGGGTTGCTTGTTTAGACGGATGCCGAAGCCCTCCAACTCGGTCTCGATGACCCGCTTGTCGGTCAGAGGCTTGTTCACGTCGAGGATGATGAAAATTAGATGGCACGTCTTGGCCACAGCAATGACCTGTCGACCTCGACCTCGACCATCCTTGGCTCCTTCGATGATACCGGGCAAGTCGATGACTTGAAGAGGGGCACCTAGAACGCGAGAGAAAGGAGAATCTCCAGTTAGGCATACCACTCGGCCGGGCTTGCTTGCCATTGGGGTCGCGGTCTTACCGTTGTACTTGAGCTGACCTGGCACCGAGGTCAAAGTCGTGAACTCATAGGCAGCGGCCTCGGAGTACTGTCCAGTCAGATGGCTCATCAGGGTACTTTTGCCAACCGAAGGAAAGCCGATGAAACCGATACTGGCCACGCCTGTCCTGGCGACATCGAACCCCGTGCCTCCGCCGCCGCTAGTTCCCGATGGGGTCAGAAGCTCTCTCTTTAGTTTGGCCAGCTTCGCCTTCAGTTGACCCAGATGGAAGGATGTCGCCTTATTCTTCTGGGTTTTGGCCATCTGCAGTGGATTGTCATGTCAGTCGATTGGTTTCGCCCACGAGGGAATTCGGAATCGGTGACTCGTACTTCGGCCTCAATATCCTTGATCTGTGATAAGTAGCGGTTAGCCATATTGTCCATGATAGTTATTGTCTCTCAAGATGAGCATCGGTTGTTCAAGCGCGTCCTACCTTGTCTACAGTGGTCGCCATGGTTGCGGTGTTGTCCGAGCTACCCTCCTGTTATGGTGGTCGGTGAGCAAGACAGCCCTCGTTGCTGGAAAAGAAGGGTGAAAGGAAGCAAGAAAACGTCTGAAATGAAGACCCGCGGTGGATAGCTCGCTCAATGAGGCTCTATTTCTGTTTCGACGGGACTTTTGAGGATCGCGATTGGAGTTGTAAATGCTACGTTGGGCGGTTGTTGGTTGTCCGATATTACTGTGCAAACACCAGTGGGGTAAAATTTTGGCGGGGTGCGGAATTTGGCCCTTTGTTTGGTCTGGGGAGAGTTTTAGTCCGGATCCTTGAGGCTTCCAAGGCGTGATGTCACTAATCAGAAAATCATCACGTGACACATCGAAGATGAAAGTACACAGAAAACACAACTATAAAGCGGGAGAGAAAAGTGGTGGGAATAAAAAGAGATAAGAGGGCAGCAGATGTAGCCGAAATAAGACTTGTCAATCACAGTACATCAGTCACACACACACAAACCAACGGAGAGAGAATAAAAAAATAAAATAAAAATAAAAAGGCACAAAGAGGACAAAAATATCAAGTTAGCAACTGAACGTTTCGATCGTTCGACCTCCGGGTTATGAGCCCGGCGCGCTTCCGCTGCGCCAAGTTGCTTTAGAACCTGATTGGAAGGCTGGTCAACTTTTGGTCGCTATAAGGCAAATAGCTGCCATTACAGTGAGTGAGCAAAAGTTTCGGGATAACCCAAAGTAGAATGCTTCGAACCTTTTAGGGACCACTTGCTTCTATTAGGGCAAAAACCATATTATATTGCAAAAGTAACGAATTACTGGATCTTTGAAATGTACCGAAATTATTGCTCACCCACTGTAGCTTATAGGATCCTTGGACTCCTATTAGTACCTAAATGTCCAAAGCAAGCGTACGAATACTTGGGAGCGACAACTTCACATCTGTTCACGGTATTAGCAATCAGTATTTTCTTTCTCCCTAATTACAGTCATGGATATGGACAATGGACAGAAGCCGGCGTTGGGATACTATTAAGAATACAAACTAACAGACTACTAGGGATAGTAGAGAAAGATATATGATACCACAACCACTGACCAGACTCAAGGCCGTGACATCTCCTGATCCAGTGATGACAGTAAAATCCCTTGAATCCCCCTAGCCATTCAGGGATGAGGCATTCACTCCGACGAGTGCATTGGAAATGCTGGCCGCGCCCAGGTCCGCCAGCACGGAGAGCATAATCTTGCAGTCGACAACCTGACATGATCCTTGCTCAGTTTTTACCCTCGCGGCCACATCCAAGTTGGCCTCTTCCTCGTATTGATCTGGGAGTCTTCCCCACAAATGGCTTTGTCCGGGCTCTACCGCCCGGGTCGGCGTTTTAGGAAGGGCACATTCTGACTACTGGCCCGCGCCGGCGTCAGGAAGGTATCTCCGGTCCGAATATCTTAGGTCTTTTGTGAGAATATGGATGTTCAGGGGGACTTCAGAATGCTAGGTGTGGAGTCTAGGACGTGGACGGTGACGGTGACGGTGACGGTGACGGATGCCCACGTGGTTGGCTGAGAAAGACGTGAACGGCTAGCACGAACATGACGACGATGGAGATAATGATGAGCACACCGATGCCCCATCCGCGGAGGCGACACCTGGTGGGACGGGCGCGGGGAAGCGGCGAAGGAGAGCGGCGACCTTGAAGGGCGAGTTCTCGTCCTCCCGCTTCTACTCCTATGGCTCCCTTCTCGGCGTCCGAAAGGGATCCACCTTGGCTCTTTTTGGATGGTTTGATGCCGGAGACCCTCGGACCCAAGAGGAGGGCGGGTAGATTGGTAGCCAAAGCAACAGGGCCGGAGAGGATCTTCTAGAATGAACTTCGGTGATGCAGAGGACATGGAGCGTCGATGGATGGGCAAGGTGTACACTGGACGGAGTCCATTGCGATGGCGCGGGTGTGGCGGGTCTGACGTTAACCCGGTCTCTGAATGTCTTGATTTTTCCCTTTTTTCTTCTTTTTTTCCCTTTGAAGATGCTAATTAGAAGTTCAATAGTGAAGACTATTTGATGTTTGAGGTTGCAGAGAACAGGAAGCAATGGAGGAGCTAGATGAAATGACAAAAGAAGCAGAGGACGAAGAGGACGAAGAGGAGAGGTGAAGAAAAGAAGAGTGCTCGCTTCTTTCGCGGTTTTCCTGTTGTTTCCCTGTTTGTTGTTTCTCTAATGTGGCGTCTGTGGCTGGAACCTGAGGCTGTGCAGCCCGGTTTCTCGGCCGAGAGGAACGTACAAGTTCTCCGTCTCATTCAACCTCCCATCTTCACTTCACTTCACCTCTGTTCATCTTTTCAATTTCTTCATTTTCGCATTCTTTCTCATCATTCTCCAGTTTCAAACAATGCTATTGCCACGCTGTTCTACTGTGGCAACTATCTAAAACAATAGGCCGGACCGATTTGTTTGCCTTGCAGAGCCATGTTTTGCATCTTGTCTCAAAACACAACACAACGCGTTGAAGCAACGCTGCAACGCAGCAACACCCTGGGACATTAGCGTCATATAGACACTTAGGACAGCCCGTTTTCTGCCCGGTCTTTGTCTCATTTTAGAACACGCTAATCGTGTATCTACGATTCCTTACAACCGTTGAGTGACCTTTGAAACTCCCTTGCTGTTGGCAGTCCTTTCAACGAACAAGGCCATCCTGATGGCCAGATGTCTTCTACGCCTTGTTTATTGATATCTCCACGTTCCCAGTCCGACTCAAACAACGCTCCAAGACATCTGAATACCACCAGGAACATGAATACCGGGAATCCTGGCAATGTCGTAACCCGATCGTAAGCTTACTACCTAGCACACGGCGTCTGGTATCCCACCTGGCCACTACCACGAAGATCGAGTTTTCGGACGGCTCATGGGCTGCACGCGACTCCTTTGGAACTTTCACATCATTAGACACTTCAACCGTCATGGTTACTGCTGATGTGTCTGTGTCTGCAACATGCAGGCAAGCCACAAACCCTGCGCAACTCCTCCCATGCCCAGCATTTCCAGCTGCCGGTTAAGCCGAAGTCTTCAAACCTTGAACACTTCCGGTCTTGACACGCCCTCCTTCAGATATCTTTGTCGAGCCATGGTATATCAGAGAGCTTCTGCTAGCTCTGCTCAGAAATTTGCGAACCTGGCTAATCGCATCTCATCAAAACGTCCTCCACGGTCTTGCCAGCGTTCTCGTTAGAAAGTTACATGTACGACTTGCACCGCATTCTCTCCACTTCAGCTTGCTTCCCCCTTAGCTTACTGTCCCTTAAACATGTTCTTCCAATGTCGTCCGAAGTCAAAATCACACATGCACGTTCTCTCCCCGTCCAGGCCCGACTGCGTACGTCATGGCTGCACCCGGAGAGCGCTCCGATGCGAGTCGAAGTCCCAGGGCCAGCAGCTACTGTCGCTCCACTGCAAAGATCGTCAGTTGCCCAACACTTAGCGCCTCCTCCACTTCAAACCCAACTGACCTCATTACAAGATGCCTGTCGTTTCAGGCTAGGTGGTGTTATGTGCCCCAACGCCAAGGACCCGGGCCCATCTCGGTTCTGCGAGGATCGTGAGTGCACCGCGAATTT